TGAATGAACTATGAATGGGAGAGATACAAATATGCAACCCTAGCAATGTGTACCCCATATGGGCTACCCCACTATAGCCTACGCAATATTGTAATTTGACAGCCAAGTGGTATACGGGTTGAGTAGTCCATGTTAAAGCATGCGTGTGTATATACATGTACAGGCAACCATTGATCAAATGTGTGAAGAAAATAAAAAACCGACGGAAATGTCAACGAAGGTGTCGGGCGCGAAACAACGCTTCTTCTTCTCCTCGTTTCCTCCTCCTCCTCTCTCTCTCTCTCTCTCTCTCTCTCTCTCTCTCTCTCTCTCTCTCTCTCTCTCTCTCTCTCTCTCTCTCTCTCTCTCTCTCTTTTCCTCGCCCCATTGTGCACTCGGTAGGATGTGGTTGTGCCTGCCCTTAGTGCATGGGAGATGATGCCTATGGATATGGACACACTTGTCCATTGTGTTTCTCTTATTCTCTCTCGTTCTCTCTCTCTCTCTCTCTCTCTCTCTCTCTCTCTTTTTCTCTCTCTCTCTCTCTCTCTCTCTCTCTCTCTCCCTCTCTCTCTCCCTCTCTCTCTCTCTCGGCCAGGGGGGGGCGACGCGCGGTCTCCCAGGGCGCCAAAACAGGCGGCAGAAGGGGCGATGCTTGCCTCCCTCCCCGCGGCCCCCTCAGGTCGCCTCGACAGGCGACGGGAAAAGGGGGGGGGGGGGGGGGGGGGGGGGGGGCGGTGTACGTGCCCTCGGTGCGCCACGGCTGGCGACGGGGCATGGCCGGGGCGGCGCCGGGGCCGCAAGTGGCGGCGACGCGGCCGCTGGAGGCGGCGACGGGGCCGCTGGTGGCGACGACGGGGCCGCTGGCGGCGGCGATAGGGCCAATAGGAGCGGCGACGGGGCCGCTAGGGTCGGCGATGGGGCCGTTGGCGGCGGGGACGGGGCCATTGACGGCGGCAACGGGGCCGGTGGCGGCGTCGACAGGGCGGATAGGGGCGGCGACGGGGCCGCGAAGGGGCCGCGAGGGGCCTGGAAGGGCGGCGACGGGCCGCAAAAGGGGCGGCGACGGGGCCGCGAGAGGCCTGGAAGGGCGGCAATACGGCCGCGAAGGGGCTGCGAGGGGCCTGGAAGGGCGGCAACGGGGCCGCTAAGAGTAGGGTGAGGGGCACGCCATGGGGCGTGCCGAACACAGAGTAGCAGCGGAAGCAGTTAGGTGGGCCCACAGGCCAAGACCGTAGATGCTCTGATAGCATGTGAAGAAATGAGCGAGAGAATGAAGAACAGAGGGCTTTCACTAGCAGTAATGAGGATACATATAGCAAACCCTAGATGGGTTATACTCGCTATAGAGCACCTCACTACAGGTTAGAGAATAACATTCCGACACGGCTGGCCGCAACGGAAGCACGAGCCCCGAAACCCGCGGCAATTAGCCGTGGGCGGGGGGCCCCGCTTGGGTAAAAACGGCAACAGCGCGTTGTTTCCGTCGCGGTTGACACGAGCATATCTGCTTGCCGCACGGTGCGTTGCCGCCATGACCGCGACCGCCTGCTTAAAGGGTCGAGAAGTCAGCAGGCTCTTCTGCTGGTATAACTTGAAGCACTTCGCCGTGCGGAAGTCGGAGGCGTCCTCCACTTGAAGCACCTCGAAACGCCCCGAGATGAGGTTGAGAGCGTGCGAGATGAGTTCGAGTCCGCCCGCTGGGTCTCTGCGCTGCGCCTTGTATTCCGCGTGCAGCAGGTACGCGCGCAAGTCCTCCAGCAGCTCCGCTTGCTCTCGCACGGAGTCGTTGACGAATGTTGCCGCCGAAAAAGTGAGGTTAGAAGAAGGGAGGGGGGGAAGGTGTTCCATGCCATTAAAATTAACATTGTTGAATGGAGCCTCACCGACTTCATCTTCAGAGTCGTCGGTGTCGTTGTCGACCACTGGAGCGGGGGGTGCTGCTGCTGCTGCGTCGTTGTCGTGCCGAATGGTCCTTGCTCCTCGCGCGCCTTTTTCCTTTTTCGCATTTTCTTTTTTAGCCGGCGCAGATGCAGCGGGTAGTGCAGTTTCCGCGCCTGTAACACTGACGGGCTGCTGCTGTAGAAGGCACAGCAGCGCGTTGACCTGGCCCGGGGTCAACGCCTGCGTCAATGCAGGGGCGGTCGTCGCGTCAGACGAGGAGCCCGCCGTCCGCCTCCTCTGGCGCTGACGCGACGGTCCAGCCGCGGGTGCTGGCGTGTGCTCGGCGTCAGTGGCGTGTGCCACGCCCGCGGCCGTCGCCACTTGCGCCGCAGGTGCCACTAGCGCCACAGGCACCTCAGGCGCCACTGGCGCCACTGGCGCCGAAGGGTGCTGGGCGTAGAACTGGAGACCGACACCGGCCGATTCTCTATTGGTCCCGACCGACGAGCCTCACTACATGCAACCATCCAGAACCTCCTGAGCGCAAGCAGGGCATGCCGACCAGTCCCGGTCCGCCACGTGGCCAGAATCACTGGCATGCTTGCATCGATGGGTGTCGCACTTGGCGCGACCGCTCGCGCATTCAGCCACGCTATGTTGCAAGTGATCAACGAAGCACCGTCTTGGAAAAGCAGCGTGGTTATCCCCCCATCTGCAGCAGAGGAGCTCCAATTTTGGCTCGAGGAGTTTGACCGTTTCAACAGCGCACCTTTTCACGTCAGGAACAGCTACGACGCAGTAATCCATGTGGAGGCCAGCTCTCATGGTTGGGGCGCCACGCTGACCACATTTCCGGGCGGCCTCGAAGAAGCCAGCGCAACCATGTCAGAGTCGCTACGAGGAACGTCCAGCACGCGACAGGAGATTGAAGGCGTCCTTTGGGCGCTCCAAACTTACGCAACCAAGATCAAGCAAAAACACGTTCTCGTGCGGGTGGACAACCAGAGCGTGTTCTTCATCCTTCGAAAAGGCGGCTCTCACAGCCCCGACCTCGCAACGGCATGCAAGAGCATCATCCGAACATGCATGGAGCTTGGCACGCGCTTGATCATCGAATGGATTCCGCGCGAGCTCAATACACACGCCGACGAACTTTCAAAAATGGTCGAACATGATGATTACGCGCTGAAAACGCCGTGGTTCCGCATCTTGGAACGTCGTTGGGGGCCCCACTCAATCGACCTCTTCGCAAACTCCCGTAACACCCAACTGCCGCGCTTCTGCACAAAGATTCCCCACCCAGAAGCCATCGCAGTTGATGCGTTCTCGATCTCGTGGACACCCGAAAACAACTTCGCCTTCCCCCCGCCCCAACTGGTCCCGGTCGTCCTCCATCACGCACAACGCACCCATGCATCACTCACACTGATAGTTCCGCACTGGCCAGGCGCAAGCTGGTGGCCACTTTTGCAACCCTCCCCATGCACTCGGGCTCCACACATCCACGCGCACATCCCTCTGACACACGGAAGCCAATGCCTAGACGTAGGATCCCATTCCAATGTTTTTTCATGCATGGGACTACCGCACAGCCCAATTATTGCACTGAGAATGGTATTTGACTAATTCAAAACATCAACGCCCTGTGTTCAGATTTGCTCCCAAAGTTACACGACCAAATGATCAACGTGCTCGCGCAATCTCGCGCCGATTCTACGATCCGGACATACGAACCATATCGGGCCAAGTTTCGAGCCTTCTGCACAAAAGTGAACCTCCCATTTCTTCCGGCATCCGACATGACCCTCGCGCTCTACCTGGTACACGCAATCGGACGCAAAGCCACCCTGTCCATAGTGCAGCGGACGTGCTCGGCGGTCAGCTTCGCTCATCACATGACTGGGAGCAAATGCCCGACAACCGGACCGTTCACCACCCAAGTCCGTGACTGTGCAAAACGACACTGCCCTCGCCCTACTCGTATGAAGGAACCCGTATCGATCTAACAAGTCCGGGACATGGCCGCGAGTTACTTGCAGTCCGACGATCCCGCGACGTTTCAGAAAGGGTTGATCCCCATCCTCATGTACTCAGGATTCCTGCGATATTCTGACCTGGCAGCCATAAAATGGCAAGACATCCAATTCGACGACGCGGTCATGTGGATTCTCATACCACACTCCAAGACCGATCAGGCTGGTCATGGCACTTGGATTCCCATTGCAGCAACGACAGACCCTTGTTGCCCAGTACGCTGCACCCGACGCTTCATCCATTTGGCCGGCTATGGCCCACAGTCAGAGGGACCATTGATTCGGGTCTTCGGCCACGCTTCAACCAGCGAGGGCCAAGCAAGGCCACCCTCATACACCACGATCCGGAACTGGTGCAAGGAAGCCTTCGCAAAGGTGGGCCTTGGAGACCTGCAGCTCGGCACACATTCTTTCCGAAAAGGTGCAGCCACAGTAGCAGCCAGCACGGGCGTGCCAGACAGGGTCTTCAAACGGCTGGGCAGATGGCGAAGCGACTCAGCAAAGGAAATGTATGTTACACCATACGTCGAGCCTCTTATCGAAGCCTCCCGTAACCTACAAGACATGACGCATGCAGCGTCATCGGCACAACACTCAGAGGCACTCGTACGCAACCGGAGGCCCCCGCTGCCCATGTCTCAGAGACCCCATTTGTAATGAGAACGATGCCAATTGATAAGAATAAGAAAGCAAGCTTTCTCAATATTATAATTTTTAAACACACATTGTGTTTTTTAAAATTGTGTATTGTGAAAGCGAAGCTGCTTGTACTGCACAATTGGCATCGTAGAAGCGCGCTAAACGCCCTTCTCCAACTACAAAAACCGTGGGTTGGAGTTCATTTCCCTCCACCCACGCTTCTCGATTTTCCAACGGCTCACTCAACATTCCCACCACCCACCCCAGAGTAAACCGCCTTGCTAATGCCACTTGGATAGGGTACATCTTAGCTAGTGTTATTCGATTGCACTAGCTTGTGTTCAACGTTGATGCAAATGTTGCTTGGTTCTTTGACCTAGCGATCGTCTTTTCCCATGACCATGGCATGTAAACCGCCTTTAACTTTTAAGATCCGACCACTGCTATAGTTTCTGTCACGTAGACATGAGCGGCGAGCCAGTCACAGTCTTCGTCTCTGATGACCTGGCGCCAGCCGACGTTGAGCACTGGCTGTCGTTTGACGAAGCCGTTCTGCCTCATCCTCCGCCTCCCATCGACGACCATCACTTGCAGACACAGCTTCTCCCGGAGTTACCGTTCAATCCTTTAGATCCTTCACTCGCTTTCCTGATAGGCGACCATGCTCCTGTAGTTGATGCGTATATAGGAGACGCTAACACAGACAATGTTCCTACACTCGTTGCTCCCGCTAACCACGTCGAAGTTAGTCCAGAGTTGCGATTGAATGATTCACTTGGAGAGCTGACGGAGAGGGGGACTCCACCTGATTCGGACGGCGAAGATTTCGTACGACGAGCAGACACACGCGAGGCGTGCACTGATGGATCCGGTGAAGCAGATGCGATTATAACAAGTTTCGCGGATTTAATAGATGCGTGGGAATCCAGCGGCGTGAGCCATAGCCATGACACTGCCTCGCGCGAGGACGGCCGGGTAGAAAGTGTTGAACTGTTACGTCCGGGAACGAGGCATGTCCCGGACGCAGGAAACGTTCTTGCAGCCAGCAATTTAGACACGTGCGTGCCAGAGCAGGCTGGTCCGTCCACGTGGTTTCCTGAACAGGATTTGTCTTTCACGTCAGCGTCCGTTCTGCGCGCATTGCAGCCTGATGGTTCCGGTCCGCAGGTGCTGACCTTCGAGGAAGCCTCGGAGAGGCTGTTCGCGGCGACAGCGCCAGCGACTTTCCAGAGCGCGAGGGGCCGGTTGGAGAAAGCACTGACGTCGCAGCGGCTGTTGCCAGAGCAGGAGGAAGCGCAGAATCAACTGCTGACGCCGCAGCAGCAGGCGCAGCAGCAGACGCAGCAGCAGTCTCAGCAGCAAGGGCGAGATTATGATCCAGGAGAGCAGCAGCAGCAGCAGCAGCAGCAGCAGCAGCAACAGCAACAGGGAGCCCCCCAGTTCAAGGTAACTGACAGCACACGGCCTCTCCTCTCCGCCATCCATGCCGGTCCCGCTCCCCCCCAACGCTCCTCCCCCGCCCAGCGCCCCTCGCCCTCCTTCGGCGGTGACATAGGAGTGGGCGGGATCAGGGGACCTCCCGCCGACCCTCCCTCCGCTCTGCCCCCGTGCAAGCTGCCTCGGCGCCCCCCGGACCTCTCCTCCCGCCTCGCCGCCGTGCTGCAAAACATCAACCCGCCACGCCCTGCGCCCTCCCCCTGGCGAAACCCCCCCAGCTTGCCCAAGCCGGGCCTCCCTTCTGCAGCCACACCTGCAGCTCCCGCTGCCACTGCGTCTATCTCTGTTGCTCAGTCGTTCCCCATGCCAGGTTCCTCCACAGCAGCAGCAGCAGCAGCAGCAGCAGCGATTCCACCAGCAGCAGCAGCAGCAGCAGCAGCAGCGATTCCACCAGCAGCAGCAGCAGCAGCAGCAGCGATTCCACCAGCAGCAGCAGCAGCAGCAGTAGCAGCACCAGCAGTTGCATCATCAGCGGTAGCAGCAGCAGCTGTAGCGGTAGCAGTGGCTTCTGCAGTGTCTTGTATACAGCCGCCTGCTTATGGATATGACCAGGGAGCGCAATGGACGACATCCAGTTCGGACAACAATGCAATTAGCAGGATTCGCCTCAGTACGGCACACAGCAACCCACAGAGCACCGCTGCAGAAAGTGCAGAGCCCAGCGTAGCAAGCAGGGCGTTCCTCCCCGTTCCTCACGTTGCTGCATTCGGCCCCGAGAGGCCCCTGCGAGTGGATGCGTCGGGCACGCTGCCACGGCCCATGTGTGGCGCGAAAGAGGGCATGCTGAAGCAGCAGCTCATGGCTCTCGCCGAAGCCATGGCCGTTGATGACTCGGTGCGTGAGGCTCGTGGGGGGGTGGGTACATAGGGGGGTGTAGGGATGGGCGGATGGGGGGTGGAGGGATGCGGGGATGGGGGGGTGGAGGGATGCGGGGATGGGGGGGTGGAGGGATGCGGGGATGGGGGGGTGGAGGGATGCGGGGATGGGGGGGTGGAGGGATACGGGGATGGGGGGGTGGAGGGATGCGGGGATGGGGATGGGTGAAGAAGTCGTCATTGCTGAAGCCATGGCTGTTGATGACTTGGTGCATGAGGTTAGTGTCAAGTGGGGGTTGGGATGAGTAGTCAACAACCAGGCATGGCTTGTGTTCGTTTGCTCCTGCTGATGCATTGTTGAGCAAGAGATGGGGCGCACTACTTGAAGTCTTGTTATCTGCCTTGCTTCTCCCCGTCCCCCACCTCACTTCTTCCCGTCTCCTACTCATTTCATCCTGTCCCCCGCCTCACTTCCTTCCCATCCTAACCCTCTATAGGTGCACCCATGTGTAATCTACAGCAGAAGGGGACTCCTCATTCACGCACCTTTCCCCTTCCCTTGCATTCCCCTGTTCCTTCCTTCTCGCCCTCCCGGCCTTCCACCTGCCTCCCCTGTCCCGACACTACCCCACCAGGTGCGGTGGCGGCAGTTCATGCGGCAGGTGCGGAGGGAGGCGGCAGCGGGGGGGGACACGCTGCAGCGCATCGCCTTCCATGCCTTGGAGGCGCTGCAGGCGCGCATGGATGGCACCGCGCTCACAAGATGGCGCACCCCCTTGAACATCACTCTTCAGGTACTTGCCTTCTCCGCTCCCCACCTTCCCCACTCCCCACCTTCCCCACTCCCGACCTTCCCCACTCCTCATCTTCCCCTCTCCCTCCCTCTCCCCCCCTCTCCCCCCTCCGGGCAATGTTGTTACACATCTCTATGCCTATATGTATCTAGATGTGGGTTGATAGATGCTCGCACACACTACATGCTCTGTGTTTTTTGCTTCGGACACGTACCCTTTCCCGTCAGCCGCTTTATGTGCTAAGCCTTCATGTGCATGCCACGTGGCCTATGCATGCCACTTGTTCCATGCATGCCATGTGTCCCATGCGCGCGACGTGTCCCATGTGAGCAGGACTCAATGGCAGTGTTGGGCCATGGCAACGAGCATGGAGTGCCGGCATTCATTCACCTCGCCAACATTGCAGCTGTGCATGAAGTTGTTCGCGCCTTCACCCACCAACCACAACAACACACACACGCACATGCACAGAGTCGCGGCCATCCACACGCCCCCCACCCTGCTTCTCTCCCCCAGCCTGCCCCTCTCCCTCCCGTTGCCTCACACTCTGCCGGCCAGTCCGTGCGGCGGCGGCGGCTGCACATCATAGCCGTTGGATTCTACGGCGGGCCGCACTGGATCAACATCCTCATGCGCCTCGCCGCCCACTTCTCCACCCTGCCCCTCCTCCCCACCACCGCCAATGCCGCCCCTGCCGCCGCCGCCTCTGCCGCCGCCACCCCTGCTGCCGTCGGCCCTGTGGCAGGCAGCAATAGCTCTACCAGCAGCGGCAGCACGAGCGGCAGCAGTGGGAGCACTCACCCCGCACCCCACACTCCTAATCCTCCCACACCTCCTTCACAAACGACCCACACCTCATCCCTGACCAATGCTGCTCCTCCGCCCCGCCCCACGGTCCACGTGAGAATCACAGCCGTTGATTTCGGAATCATCAGAGTGGAGGAGTATCCGACAGGGCTGGTGCATCTGGGCGGGCAGTACCTGGAGCAGGTGGCATCTATGCTCGGCCTCTCTCTCACATTTCACGGCATAGAAACAACCCCTCACGACTTCCACCCGTCGCAAGTGGAGGTGGATGAAGGGGAGGAGGTGGTGGTGCTGGCCAATTGGGGCCTTATGGTCTTCCCAGACGACACTGTGCTGCGCTCCAACCCCCGCAACTCTATCCTTAAGTGGATCCGCGACCTGCGCCCTCTGCTCCTCCTGCAGGTCGACATTGATCTGGACGCCAACGGGCCCTTCTTCCTCTCACGCTTCCACGCTGCCTTCGCCAACTTTGCGGCATTCGTTGAGTCGTTTGATGCCACCATGCCGCACTCCGCCACGCCACGCTTCGTAGCAGAATCCATCCTCGCGCGGGACTTTATGAACGGGATCGCATGCGAGGGCATGAACAGATGGCTGCGAGCAGAGCGGCTCAAGAAATGGGTGCATCGGATGAGAGCGGTGGGGCTGGAGCCGGTGCCTATAGGGCCGGACACGGTGGCGGCTGGGAAGGCGATCACAGAGGGGAAGGATGGGCGGTTCAGGTTAGAAGTGCATGGTGAGAGTGGCGCCCTGCAGCTCAGCTGGCGTGGTGTTCCCATGATCTTCATAGCGGCCTGGAGATGAGTCCGGGATTGGCCCTTGTGAAGGAGATCACAGTGGGGAAGGATGGGAGGCGGTTCAGGTTACAAGTGCATGATGAGCGCAGTGCCCTGCTGCTCAGCTGGCGTGGCGTTTCCATGATCTTTACAGTGGCCTGAGATGAGTCTGGGGTTGGCCGTTGGGAATGAGGTCCCTCTGATCAACAGGTGGCATGGCCGGACACGGTGGCGGCTTGGAGAGACGGGCATGGTGAGACGGCCGCTCTGCAGCTCAGCCGGTGCGGCGTGCCCTTGAATTCGTGGCTGCCTGGAATGAGTTGGGAGTCGGTCTGGATCTAAGACCACCTTGGTCTCATAAGCTGCAGCGCACCGATGCTCGTTGTTGACTGGAGATGAATCTGTGACCGATTCCGAGGTTGCTGCGTTCCACAACTTGGTGGAGCAGTGGCAAGGGCAGCATAGCCAAGCTCATGAATAGAAGACAGGTCTCATCAAACCAGGGTAGGTTCAGGCTGGTTAATTTAACCTCCACTCCTGCATTTCAACCGTATTTCTTGTCCTATTTTTCTGTTTCTTGTGCTTAATGTTTTGCATTTGCTCATGCCTGTCCATCTTGCCTCCCTTCTGACTTTGTCGGAACCTCAACTCTAGTGTGTTGAGACTAAATTTACACGTACATCATCCCTAACTGTTGCTGCAGGCTTCATAATCTGTGCTGTAAGCCTTCCTGAGATGGAGTTGCATAAGTGAGATGTGACCCATCCTTCGAGCTACTTGGGAAAACTCTCCATTTATGTCTTGGAAATGACATTGGCCTAAATTTCAATGTCGTCCCCAAAACGTTAAATGAAGAAGCGTTTGTTTGTGCTTACTAGCAGTCTAGGTGCAAGTGGTGAAGAGAATGATATGTTCTAATATTTTCTAATATTTGATGGTTTATCAGAAATAGTGTACGTGTCAAACGAAGAATCACATATTAACGGGGATTCACATCTGGGGAATTCAAGCCTTGAGAATTCTTTCACACCCCAAGCATTCACACCTCGGGACCTTGGGAATTGTTCGCAGCTTTTCTAGACCCGATGCCATAGCTTTCTAATGGATGGATCGGTTATCCACTCCATACATAGCATATTCTTGCCAACCTCCCCACTCCATAACCGATCACGTAGACATACTACTATGGGCACGACTATGGGATACAACCTGCTGCCTTTAACTTCCGAGATCCGACCACAGCTGTAGTTTCTGTCACGTAGAGACATGATCGGCGAGCCGGTCACGGTCTTCGTCTCTGATGACTTGGCGCCTGCGGACGTTGAGCACTGGCTGTCGTTCGACGAAGCCGTTTTGCCTCATCCTCCGCCTTCCACCGACGACCCTCACTTGCAGACACAGCTTCCCCCGGAGTTACCGTTCAATTCTTTAGATCCGTCACTTGCTTTCCTGATAGGCGACGATGCTCTTATAGGTGATGCATATATAGGAGACGCTCACACAGACTATGTTCCTGCACTCGGTGCTCCGGCTAACCCAGTCGAATTTAGTCCAAAATTTCGATCGGATGATTTACTTGGAGAATTCACGGAAAGGGGGACTCCACCTGAGTCGGATGGCGTAGATCCCATACGACAAACAAATACACGTGAGGCGCGTACGGACGGATCAGGTGAAGCATTCGCGGATTTAATAGATGCGTGGGACTTCAGCGGCGTGAGCCATAGCCATGACTCTGCCACCCCCGAAGACGGCCGAGTAGAAAGGGTTGAATTGTCCCATCAAGTGAAGGGGTATGTCCCGGACACAGGAAACGTTCTTGCAGCCAGCAATAATGCAGGCAGCAGTTTTGCACCCAGCAATTTAGACACGTGCGTGTCAGAGCAGGCTGGTCCGTCCACGTGGCTTCCTGATCAACCTCGGAATGCGGAGTTGGGATCAGAACAAGGTTTCCCTGCCACGTCAGCATACGTTCTGTGTGCATTGCAGCCTGATGGTTCCCGTCCGCAGGTGCTGAGATTCGAAGAAGCTTACGAGCGGTTGTTCGCGGCGGTAGCGCCAGCGCCTTTTCAGAACGCGAGGGGCCGCTGTGAGCAAGTGCAGCGTGAGCAAGCACCTAGGGCGCAGCTGCTGCTGCCAGAGCAGGAGGAAGCGCAGATTAAGCTGCTGACACCGCAGGAGCAGACGCAGCAGCAGTCGCAGCAGCAGACGCAGCAGCAAGGGCAAGATCACGATCTGGGCGAGCAGCAGCAGGGATCCCTTCGGTCGAGTATACCCCCCAGCACGCGTCCTCTCCGCTCCGCCATCCATGCCCGACCCTTTTCCCCCCAGCGCTCCTCTCCCACCCAGCGCCTCTCGCACTATCTCGGCGGTGACATAGGCGTGGGCGGGATCAGAGGGCCTCCCGCCGATCCTCCCTCCGCTCCGCCACCGTCCAAGCTGCCTCGGCGACCCCCCGACCTCTCCTCCCGCCTTGCCGCCGTGCTGCAAAACATCAACCCACCGGGGCCTGCGACCTCCCCCTGGCAAACCCTCCCCTGCTTGCCCAAGCCGTGCCTTCCTTGTGCTGCCACGCCCGCAGCTCCCGCCGCGCCTGCAGCTCCCTCTGCCAGTGCGTCTACCGCTGGAGCTTGGTCGTTCCCCGTGCTGGGTTCATCCGCAGCAGCAGCATCGATCTCACCAGCACCACCTACAGCAGCAGCAGCAGTAGCAGCAGCGCCAGGGACAGCTACAGCAGGAGCAACAACAGCAGCAGTAGCAGCAGCAGCAGTAGAGTTAGCAGTAGCGTCTGCAGTCTCTTGCATACAGGCATCTGAGAGCAGGCTCGTGGTTGGAAGCAGTCGGGGAGACGCGAATGGTTTTATGCGCTCAACACTGCTCTCCTCTGCTGCTAACAGTAGCGATGCTGTTACTTGTGGATATGACCAGCAAGTGCAGTGGCCAGCATCTTCTCTGGACAGCAGTGCACTAGGCAGGATTCGCGTCAATAAGGCGCACAGCAACCCACTGAACACTGCCCCAGCCAGTGCAGGGCACAGTGCAGCAAGCAGGGCGTCTGTCGCCACCCCCCACGTTGTTGCATTCGGCCCCGAGAGGCCCCTGCGAGTGGATGTGTCGGGCATGCTGCCACGGCCCATGTGTGGCGCGAGGGAGGGCATGCTGAAGCAGCAGCTCATGGCTCTCGCTGAAGCCATGGCTGTTGATGACTCGGTGTGTGGGGCTCGTGTCAAGTGGGGAGTGGAATGTTCGTTGGCTTGTGCTTATGCATGGCTGAGCAAGAGCAGAAGTGCACTATTTGGAGTCTTGTTCGTCGTCTCACTTCCTCCTGTCCTTCATCTCATTTCTTCTTGTCCCCCAAATATCTCCGTCTCACTGACCTGTTTATCCCAAACCACACGCATTCAAACCCCTTCCCCCCACCAGGTGCAGTGGTGGCAGTGCATGCACAGGTGCTCATTCCCGAAAGCTCTTTTGATGGTTCAACAAAAGCGGATTCATGCCCTCAACCAAACCCCTCCCCCCACCAGGTGCGGTGGCGGCAGTTCATGCGGCAGGTGCAGAGGGAGGCGGCAGCAGGGGGGGACACGCTGCAGCGCATCGCCTTTCACGCGCTGGAGGCGCTGCGGGCACGCATAGATGGCACCGCGCTCACAAGATGGCGCACCCCCTTGAACATCACCCTTCAGGTACTTACCTTCCCCCCTCCCCGCCTTCCCCCTTCCCACCTTTCCCCCTCCCCATCTTCCCCCCTCCCCACCTTCTCCCCCCTTACCCCCCCTCTCCCCCTTCGATGCATGTCATGCCACGTGTCCCATGCACGCCACGTGTCCCATGCACGCCACGTGTTCCATGCATACATTGTTCCCCAAGCATGCCGTAGGTCCCATGCATACCATCCATCCCATGCATGCCACGTGTCCCATGCATGCCAAGTGTCCCATGCATGCCAAGTGTCCCATGCATGCCAAGTGTCCCATGCATGTGACGTGTCCTATGTGAGCAGGATTCGTTGGCAGCGATGGGCCATGGCAACGAGCATGGGATGCCGACATTCATGCACCTCGCCAACACTGCAGCCGTGCACGAAGTCGTTCACGCATTCACCCGCCAGCCACATGCTCACGCACGCACGCACCCACATGCACACGGCCATGCTCCCCATTCCGCTGCCACCCTCCCACACAAACTGCACCCGCCTGCTCCTTCCGCCCAGCATGTCTCTTTCCCTGCCTCTGCAAGCCACTCCGTGCGGCGGCGGCGGCTGCACATCATAGCCATTGGGTTCTACGGCGGGCCGCATTGGATCAACATTCTCATGCGCCTCGCAGCTCACTTCTCCACCCCTCCTCTCAACCCCGCCTCTGCTGCCGCCGACAATGACCTTCCGCCAAGTGGGATCCCCACAAACCCCACCACACCTCTTTCACACGCTACTCCCCCGCCCCGCCCTACGGTCCACGTGAGAATCACAGCCATTGACTTAGGTGTTGTCAAAGTGGAGGAGTATCCAACGGGCCTGGTGCATTTGGGGGGGCAGTACCTGGAGCAGGTGGCATCTATGATGGGCCTCTCTCTCACCTTCCACGGCATAGAAACCACGCCACACGACTTCCATCCGTCGCAAATGGAGGTGGATGAAGGAGAGGAGGTGGTGGTGTCGGCCAATTGGGGCCTCATGGTCTTTCCAGACGACACAGTGCTTCGCTCCAACCCCCGCAACTCCATCCTCAGGTGGATTCGCGACCTGCGCCCGCTGCTGCTACTCCAGGTCGACATTGATTTGGACGCCAACGGCCCCTTCTTCCTCTCGCGCTTCCACGCTGCCTTCGCCAACTTTGCAGCGTTCGTCGAGTCCTTTGATGCTTCCATGCCGCACGCTGCCACGCCACGCTTCGCGGTAGAAAGCATCCTTGCACACGACTTTATAAATGGAGTCGCATGCGAGGGCATGAACCGATGGCTGCGGGCGGAGCGGCTCGAGAAATGGGTGCATCGGATGAGAGCTGTGGGGCTGGAACCCGTACCTTTCGGGCCGGACACGGAGGCGGCTGGGAGGGAGATCACAGAGGGGAAGGACAGGCGGTTCCGGCTGGAAGTGCATGCTGAGACGGGCGCCCTGCAGCTCAGCTGGCGTGGCGTGCCCATGCTGTTTGTGGCCGCCTGGCGATGATCTTTGAATCAGTCTCAAGAGCCGCTGCATCCCTGATGATTGTTCTGACCGCGTGGCGATGAGCTTTGAGGCATCTCACAAATATTGGCGTCCTGATTATCTGTGGCGGCTGGTGATGTGACTCTGGGACCGGTTGTAGGGCCGCCCTGATGCATGCTGGCCGGGCAATGGCAAGGGCAGCATCGCCAGGACAACAGGCTTTATCAAATCAGGGTAGGCTTCACTTTATGCCCCTTGGGACTGCCTTTGCCCTGCATTTTCACCCTTCTCGCCCCATGTTACAGAGCTCTTGCGCTTGATGTTGGCATCTTCGTGTGCAGCTTCCCTCTCTTCTGACTTCTTTTTTTCCTTGCGGAAGCCTTGCTGTTTTCCCCAACCGCAGGCGCTGGTTGCTCACACCGGCCTCAACACGGAAGTTGAGGGGCAGGGAAGGGGGCTGAATCCCTCAGAGTAAGGCTTTTGAGGGGCAGGGTGGGGGGGAGGAAGGGGTTGAAACCTTCAGGCTGAAGCAAGCAATGGGCAGGGAAGTTCCCTCCTTTGCCTCTTGCCCGCTTTATCCAGGGTGTTTCAACCCTCTCACCTGCCTCTCGACCTCCTTACTCTGGGGAATTCAACCTCCCTCCCTGCTCTGCTGTCGCCTCGCTCCTGGGGCCTCAACCCCCTCCCCTCCACCGCCTCCCGCTCTCCTCACTCACCTCCCCTCCTCAGTGATGGTAGTGGAGAGTGGCTAGAGTGCCTGGAACAAGGGGGTGATGCGGATGAGATGGCATGGCATGTGCAGTGGTGGTGGTGATTGCCAGTGGCACTTGCTGACAAGTGAAGGGTCTGAGGCAAGAGAAGGCCACCAGTGTTGGGTCCATGAAGCCTACCTTCTTACAGTATGTGGCAAAGTGAAACTTCTTTCTGTAATGATCTGTCTTTTGGCCATGGGCTCCTGATCTGCAATATTAATTCAGTACGCTAGTTCAAGGTGCTTGCTGCTAGTACTCAGATGTGTAAATGCATGCATGATGCACCCCACCTGCAAATCTGTTTTTCGAGATCTCACATAACATGAAGATTGGACATGTTTGGTTTGTGTATGGTGCTAGCTATGTTTGTATGATGCATGTCAATGCTTCTGTTCCAAGATGTCTCCTACTGGTATTTGAGAGACTCAGTGGGTCATGAGTAGAACGGTGTACACCAATTTCTTTTATTATTATCGATATCGGGATTCGGGATTCTGTCTCCCTTGGAGTTGCATTTCCTAAGATCCCGCCGTTCTGTCGAGTTTTTTGTGCCCAGGCAAATTGCCTCATTACCTGTCCCTTGGTCTCCTCTTCCCTGCATACATCACGCACCCTGCAATACCAGAAACAATGCGCGGTGTGCTCGAGATTATGTTTGGTCTCGCGATCATCGTTTTTATTTGACCGTTTATTCCCGCAGTCCATCTCTTCTAAATTTCTTACTATTCTGTGCGGAGGCTTCTCATTACGCGCATAGCTATGCGATACGTCTGCGCACCGATCTGATTCGACTCTGTAGCGCGCTTCGGCTGTAATCAAAAGGATGGCGAAGCGCAGGTCGTCGTTTCCCATCGTGCGATGGCTGCTCATCGCGTGCGCCTTCTCCTTCGTGCTCGTTCAGGTCGGCTCGCATTGCACTCGTTCTTGTGAATCCGATTATAGCGCAGCCGACTTGCCTCATTCTCTCGATGTCATTCCAGCGATCGCTTTGTCCTAGAGCATGTATGTGTGCAACCCGTCGTCGTCCCGGCCTCTGTACCAGCGTAAAATCACCTTATTGTCTGCATACTGCCGTCTCTATCCGTCTTGTATTCCGTCAAAATCTGATCTCCCCGGGCAGGTTCGGATGCCGGTGATAGGAGCTTAGTGCTCGGACCGCGTGAAGGTGCTCATGGAAGTCTAGCGCACATTCACCTTATTTTCTCCATACCGCCATGCCTATCCATCTCGCATCTCGTCAAAACTCGATATTGCGTGCAGATTCGGATGCTGATGGTGGGAACGGAGTGCTCGGACCGCGTGAAGGTGCTCATGGAGGCGCAGCGCAAGTGGGCCAACGAGGCTCGCGCGCTGCGGAAGAACCTGACAGATGTCACCCGTGAGTGCCGTTGGGACATGCGATAGCTCACCATTTATTCTGCACACTGTACGATATGACCACGCTTGAACCTCACAGGATTAATATAGGGCGCCAATCTCCATGAATAATATAACAGGCCAAGCTCTTTTCCTGTTATGATTCTCGACTAGATCACACACGAGCATTTTCGCCTACGCTTGTAGAGGAAAAACTGCTGATCAGTGTTCTTTAACTGAACCTGCTGCTGCACGTGCTGAAAGTTGAGACAATTCAGGCCGATAAATGAACGTAATGTTTGCCTGAATCGACACAAATGGAACACGTCTTCTCCCACTGACGCAGGAGACGCGATGGGGCTGGAGGAGGAGCTGGAGAAGGCGCAAACGGCTTACAAGCAGACGCGGCAAGGTGAGTGGCGCAGCCAGCGTACAAGCGCTGCAACAAGGTAAGCGGTACACGACATTTGAGACGTCTTATAAGTCGCGATGGGGCTGGAGGAGGAGCTGGAGAAGGCGCAAACGGCTTACAAGCAGACGCAGCAAGGTGAGTGGCGCAGGCGCCCGCATGGGTTCCACCAGTGTGGTATGGATTGTCGGTGCTATGTGTGGGCAGGGACTGGGTATTCCACGCGTGGGTGAGGTATGTGAATGGATGAGAGTAACGTTGCGGCATTGCCATAGTGTGCAGGCGCTGCAGCGTTAGGTGCAGGTAGGGTGGAGCCTAGGATGCGTGGGAAGCCTGAAATGCTTGTCTGTATCCTGCTTGCATGTGATTTGTGCAGTAATTGCTCTCTGCTTCCTTGCTCACTCCACTTTGCACCACTATCGATGGCTTACCTATCCCCGTCCCTGTGTCCTCATACCTGTTCCCCCCCATGTGCCTTCACCCTCCCTCCTCGCCTCCCACCCTCTTCGCTGTCTGCACGGCCAACACCCACTAACGACTCACTGTTCCTGCGCCATGCTGCCTTGGATATGTTTCATATGCTCCTCTGTATTCGGCGTTCATTCTGTAATGTCGCCTGCCGCCCGCCTGCGGCCCGCCTGCTGTGCACCTGCTCACCGCCTGGCCTGCTGGTGCCCGTCTACTCACTGCAGAGCTGGTGAGTTGCCCTCATGTCCCTTCTGCTTGGAGGTCGCACTGTAATCCTAGTGCCCAAATATCGCCCTGACGTTGAACCATCGAGTGAGAAGCATGCATATTCATGTCCGTGTGCAGGAAGCTGCTCAGAGAAGACAGCAGCAGCAGAAGGCGCAAGAGCAGAGCGCACAACAACAGCAACAGCAGAAACAAGAAGTAGCACATGTAAAGGCAGCGACGGAAGGGCAGACAGGAGCAGGGGGGGCGGGAGGTAACATACGAGGGAAGGTGCAGGATGGGGGAGTGGTGCAGGCAGGGGGAGCAGGGAGAGCAGGGAGGATGCGGGGAGGGGGCGAGGCAAAGGATGCCGTGGCAGCGGTGGTGATCATGGCGTGTAACCGCGTTGACTATCTCGATCGCACCATCCAATCCGTGCTGCTGTGAGTATCAAGGTTGGAGACGTTTCAATGTGGGAGATTGAAGAAGCCTCGCATAAGAACTTGAGACGCCTCTACTCGCATGCAGTGAGTGTGCCCTGGCATTCGAAGTGCTGCCTTCAGGTGCCATGGTTGGGCTAGTGAATTAAGTCATTCAAGTCCACTGCATTCCACACCCATCCTGCTTCCTTGCTGTTGTCCGTTCCTCACCATCCCGTGTTCTCTGCCCTGTCCGCACTACTTACCCTCCGTGCAGGCACCACAAGGGCGCTGACAGCAAGTTCCCCCTCTTCATCTCCCAGGTGCCACATGCCCCCTGCATAGCCTCGTTTTGCGTGGCTTGGCATGGCATGGCATGGCATGGCATGAGATGACATTGTCTGATGGCGCATGGCATGAGATGACATTGTCTGATGGCGCTTGGCATGAGATGACATTGTCTGACGGCGCATGGCATGAGATGACATTGTCTGAAGGCGCATAGCATGAGATGACATTGTCTGACGGCGCATGGCATGAGATGACATTGTGTGACGGTGCATGGCATGAGATGACATTGTCTGACGGCGCATGGCATGAGATGACATTGTCTGACGGCGCATGGCATGAGATGACATTGTCTGACGGCGCATGGCATGAGATGACAGCCCATCCCATTCGCCCGGCTTTCTGATTTCGTTTCCTCCCACTTGTCACCTTCCCCGTATGTATGCCGCCATGCCTAAACCCGAAGCCCTAACCCTAAACCCTCTGTGTGTGGTTGGACTCAGGACGGCACGAATGCAGGCGTCAAGGAGAGGGCCAAGCAGGCCCACCAGTTCACCTACCTACAGGTGAGCTCATTCCGGCACTTCACGTGCCAACTGGTGAGTAACCTACCCGCAAGACAGCTGTTAACTGGGAATTGTGGTAAGGCACTTATTTGCAGGTGTGCAACAGTTTTTTAGCTCCTGGTACATCTTCGGTCCCCTCATCCCCCTTCCCCCTCCTGTTGTCTGCCTGTCTGCGTGTCCACCTGTGTCCCTGTGTGCCTGTATGCGTGCCTGCCTGTGTGCCTGTGTGCATACAGCACATCGAGACAGCACCCCCCAGAATGAACAACCCAGGGGAGAACATTGCGTATTACAGAATAGCAGGTGGGGATGCAGGTGGGGATGCAGGTGGGGATGCAGGTGGGGATGCAGGTGGGGATGCAGGTGGGGATGCAGGTGGGGATGCAGGTGGGGATGCAGGTGGGGATGCAGGTGGGGATGCAGGTGGGGATGCAGGTGGGGATGCAGGTGGGGATGCAGGTGGGGATGCAGGTGGGGATGCAGGTGGGGATGCGGGTGGGGATGCAGGTGGGGATGCGGGTGGGGATGCGGGTGGTTTCTTATGCCCCCCTTCTGTGTGATGTGAATGGGCAGTTCTAGCTGGGTGATTTTTGAATTCCCTCGTGGGTATCACCTATTCCATGTGCTTCCCATTGTGTCACTCCTGTATCCTCACAGCACACAGGTTCCACTGATGGCGTGTGCAGTGTTAATGCTTCTGAGGGCCACGCTGACCTTATTGCTTATCTTACTGCTCGTGTGTGCAGTGCAGCTCTGCGTTGTTGTACTGTAGGGAGTACAAACAAGAGCTGTCCACGTAACCTGCCCCCCCTTCTCTACACCCCCTGCCCACGTCCTCCCTGCCTATCACTATTCATGTGTGCACGCAAGCTCAGAGCATTACAAGTTCGCCCTCACACAGCTCTTTGACCGACGCCAGTTTCCACGTGTCATCATTCTCGAAGGTACTCGTTCAAACACCCCGGCTTCGCTGTCACTCCTGGCGTATTGCTGTTCATTATATGACCCTCGTCATGCCCTCTCACAGGCATATACTTTGCCACCCATCCACCCATTTTCCCACCCACCCACTCATGCACCCATCCCCGTTTCTTTAACCCCTTTCTCCCACATGTCCGCCCAGACGACATGGAGCTAGCTCCTGACTTCTTTGATTACTTTGAGGCCGCCTCCAACCTGCTAGATGTGGACGAGTGAGTGAAGGCACGTGTTGTGGAATGCGGTGCGGTTGGATGCAATGAGGTGTGATATGACGCAATGAGCTGCAGCCCGGTCAGGTGACATGCAGTACGGTGCAGCGTGATTCACGCGACGCGATGTGCTGAGTCGTGATGCGATGTGTTGCAATGCAATGGGATGCGGTGCGGTGCGATGCTCCCTAAGTCAACAACAACTCGCAAACCCTCCATCGTCCCCATCCCATCCTTGCAGGTCCATCCTAGCAGTATCTTCCTGGAACGACAACGGGCAGAAGCAATTTGTGCACGACGCGCACCAGCTGTACCGCTCGGACTTCTTCCCAGGGCTGGGCTGGATGCTGAGGAGAGAGCTGTGGGCGGAGCTCAAGCCCAAGTGGGCCAGGGCCTACTGGGACGACTGGCTGCGCCTCCCGGAGCAGCGCAAGGGCCGCCAGACCATCCGCCCGGAGGTCTGCCGAACCTACAACTTCGGGGAGCATGTGAGTGGGTCTGCAGGTCTGGACTTACAGATTCTGGAACACTTCACTTTGGCTACGGTCCTTTTCTCTGTAGCCTAGAACCCTAGTCCCTGTAACCTTGAATCTGAATGCAAGTACTTCAGCCAATTTCTCTTAGCCCGTGCCGCCTGTTGATCTCACCTTGTCAAACCCTACCTGCTTTCTCTCCTCCCTTCCTGCCTCTGCTCCTCTCCTCTCCCCCAGGGTTCCAGCATGGGTCAATACTTCAGCCAGTACCTGGCACCCATCAGGCTCAACACCGAGCCCATCAACTGGGCTCAGAAGGACCTCAGTTACCTGCTGGACGTCAGCTACCCGTCCTACATGCTCTCCCAGCTGCGTTCGGCTCGCCTCATCCCACTTGCAGCAGTCAACACCGAGGTGGTAACCCCATCGGAGCTCGGTTACGATGTAATGGTGGAGTATCGGGATGAAGGCAGTTTCGCGGAGCTTGCGGGGGAGTTTGGTGTTTTTCAGGAGTGGAAGGCAGGGGTGCCGCGCACGGCTTATAGCGGGGTTGTAGTGTTTCGGTACCATGGGCCGCACCGGGTGTTTTTTGTCGAGCGTTTAGGGTTGGCTAAGTTGGGGTTTAAGCTGCCAACTAGCACGTAGAGCTGAGCTTTTACCGGGGGTTAGGAGTCACTCATGTTGATGGCTGATAGGATGTACGAAACAAAATCATCATGCAAAGATAATTTGAGTTAAAAGTAAAACTGGATCATATCTTATATTTGTTCTCATTGCTATACTGGTGCAAGCTCCAAATTGTTTGTGAAGGCTGATATCGCAGGACGCTCATAAAGGTTATTTGTATCATTCCCACAGCTTCAGCTACGTGCCTCGCTATTAGTGGTTGCTGACCACGTGGCGACTGACTGACCACCGCGCATGCATCTAGCCCTTCCCTACCCGATGGGTGAAGCCACTTGCCTTTCTCAAGTTCGTCGCGCCACACAGGTTCGCCCTTTTCCGCGCCCTCACTGTCACTGCGTGCTCTACGGAACACAGTACGAGTCGCGCATTGACAATACGAGTAGGGAGTCCCTTTCGCCTAAATCTCTCCCTCTCTCCCGCGTTTCGCGCCTCTCGCGCCTCTCGTGCTCTCTTTTCCTGAAGCGATTCTAAACCATCAGGCACCAGCTTCTTTATATATTTGAGGGGTTCGTATTGGTTCGTCTAGGCCGCAGTGAAGCATCTATGACGGTCCCCCGACGGCAAGCCGTCTCGTCTGTCTGCAACCGTTAGTTTCCCTTACTCTCTCTACTGCTAAGAGCATCGAATTCCGCGCATCGGATCGGAAACCGCTCTTTCGAATCCCGTGACCATGGCCTCGACAAGCCTTTGCCACGTGTCCGCCTCCCTGTCCCACCGCACGCTTCTCCCCGTTCCTTCACATCCAAACGTCGATTTCACCCTAGTTGCGCGCCCAGCCGTTCCGCACCGGCGGCGCGCTCTCCGCGTATCCGCTCCGCGCGCGCAAGCCGACAATGGCTCGAGTCAGAGAAGCGGGCCGCGGTGGGACCCGTTATTAGCAGACTCGGGAACAGATTGCCCCGTGCCGGAGGAGCAGCAGCCTATTAACGAGTACCAGAGCCTTCTAGAGAGCGCGGTGTTCCCGTGGGTCACGCTAGACGGCCTTAACTACGCGCTGCGGCTCCTGGGCATTGGAGTGGTTGTCTCCGCGCTGATTGGCTGGCCTATCGCGTCGCTGACGTTCGATCCCAAGGTAGGGGTGCAACCCCAAAGTGTATTGGCTCTCCCTTTTGAGTCGACTCAAAAGTGCAACCCCAAAGTGTATCGGCTCTCCCTTCCCTCCCCCTCTCTCGTCCGTCGAGGCCTCCCACTTGCCTCCCTCTTCCTCCATCCCCATTCCCTTCCGCCTCCCGTCCCCCCGTCTCGCTTCCTGCCTTTTCTCTAACCCCATTCCCACGCCCCCCTACATTCCTACCTCCCTCCCTTCCTGCATCCGTACTTTCCTTTTCCGTCTCTCCCTTTCTTCCTCCCTCCCTCACCTTCTTCCCCCTTTCCCAGAGGGACGCGCTACAGTGTCTGCTGGGGTCACTGGGCGGCGGCCAGTTGGCGGTTACGTTGGCGGCGCTTCGGCTGTATCTGGGGTGGTCGTATATCGGCAACAGACTGTTCAGTGCTACAGTGGAATGTGAGCTATAGTCTGGTACTAAGTACATAGTAAGCAGTGCTACTGTTTTACACACCCACCCCCCAGCCGCCCCCACCCCCCTCCCTTTCCTCACACACACGCACACATCGCTTTCTCAAGCCCTTCGAGCATCTCTCACCTTCCCCCACCCCCTTTCCCCCCACTCTATGCCCCACAGACGAGGAGACGGGGTGGTACGACGGGCAGGTGGGGGTGAAGACCCCTGAGCTGCATAACAGTCAGTTCTACTGTTTCACAACCAAGCTCCTGAGCAACTCTCACCTTCCCCGCTCCCCTTTTCCCCCACACTCACAGACGAGGAGACGGGGTGGTATGACGGGCAGGTGTGGGTGAAAACCCCCGAGCTGCTGGCGCGAGACAGACTGCTCGCCTCCTACAAGGTGGGTCGGGTGGCACACACACAGCAGATATCCTGCTTCTTCCTAGCCTCGCTAGACGCGCAGGTGTTGGTGAAGACCACCAGACCAGAGCTGCTGGCGCGAGACAGACTGCTCGCCTCCTACAAGGTGGGTCGGGTGGCACACACACAGCAGATATCCTGCTTCTTCCTAGCCTCGCTAGACGCGCAGGTGTTGGTGAAGACCACCAGACCAGAGCTGCTGGCGCGAGACAGACTGCTCGCCTCCTACAAGGTGGGTCGGGTGGCACACACACAGCAGATATCCTGCTTCTTCCTAGCCTCGCTAGACGCGCAGGTGTTGGTGAAGACCACCAGACCAGAGCTGCTGGCGCGAGACAGACTGCTCGCCTCCTACAAGGTGGGTCGGGTGGCACACACACAGCAGATAACCTGCTTCTTCCTAGCCTCGCTAGACGCGCAGGTGTTGGTGAAGACCACCAGACCAGAGCTGCTGGCGCGAGACAGACTGCTCGCCTCCTACAAGGTGGGTCGGGTGGCACACACACAGCAGATATCCTGCTTCTTCCTAGCCTCGCTAGACGCGCAGGTGTTGGTGAAGACCACCAGACCAGAGCTGCTGGCGCGAGACAGACTGCTCGCCTCCTACAAGGTGGGTCGGGTGGCACACACACAGCAGATATCCTGCTTCTTCCTAGCCTCGCTAGACGCGCAGGTGTTGGTGAAGACCACCAGACCAGAGCTGCTGGCGCGAGACAGACTGCTCGCCTCCTACAAGGTGGGTCGGGTGGCACACACACAGCAGATATCCTGCTTCTTCCTAGCCTCGCTAGACGCGCAGGTGTTGGTGAAGACCACCAGACCAGAGCTGCTGGCGCGAGACAGACTGCTCGCCTCCTACAAGGTGGGTCGGGTGGCACACACACAGCAGATAACCTGCTTCTTCCTAGCCTCGCTAGACGCGCAGGTGTTGGTGAAGACCACCAGACCAGAGCTGCTGGCGCGAGACAGACTGCTCGCCTCCTACAAGGTGGGTCGGGTGGCACACACACAGCAGATAACCTGCTTCTTCCTAGCCTCGCTAGACGCGCAGGTGTTGGTGAAGACCACCAGACCAGAGCTGCTGGCGCGAGACAGACTGCTCGCCTCCTACAAGGTGGGTCGGGTGGCACACACACAGCAGATATCCTGCTTCTTCCTAGCCTCGCTAGACGCGCAGGTGTTGGTGAAGACCACCAGACCAGAGCTGCTGGCGCGAGACAGACTGCTCGCCTCCTACAAGGTGGGTCGGGTGGCACACACACAGCAGATATCCTGCTTCTTCCTAGCCTCGCTAGACGCGCAGGTGTTGGTGAAGACCACCAGACCAGAGCTGCTGGCGCGAGACAGACTGCTCGCCTCCTACAAGGTGGGTCGGGTGGCACACACACAGCAGATATCCTGCTTCTTCCTAGCCTCGCTAGACGCGCAGGTGTTGGTGAAGACCACCAGACCAGAGCTGCTGGCGCGAGACAGACTGCTCGCCTCCTACAAGGTGGGTCGGGTGGCACACACACAGCAGATAACCTGCTTCTTCCTAGCCTCGCTAGACGCGCAGGTGTTGGTGAAGACCACCAGACCAGAGCTGCTGGCGCGAGACAGACTGCTCGCCTCCTACAAGGTGGGTCGGGTGGCACACACACAGCAGATAACCTGCTTCTTCCTAGCCTCGCTAGACGCGCAGGTGTTGGTGAAGACCACCAGACCAGAGCTGCTGGCGCGAGACAGACTGCTCGCCTCCTACAAGGTGGGTTGGGCCGCACACAGCAGATAACCTGCTTCTTCTGAGCCTCGCTATGCCCCTGTTGCAAGCGCTGTGTGCGCCATCCATGTATGCCCATCTGTCTCATCCCCGCCTCTCCACGGGTTTACGATGAAGGGAGTCTGATATTCCAACCGATCTCTCCACACCCCACCTGCCCCCAACAGGTGAAGCCTGTGCTCAATCGCCTCAAGTCCACCCTCCTAGGCTTGGGCCTCTCCCTTGCCACCACTACCGCGCTCCTCTTCCTCCTCCCCTCCTCTGCCTCTTCCTCCTCCTCCCTCTCCAGCTTCACTCCTGCCTCTTACATTCCGGACTCATCTGCCACGTCAGCACTGACAGCTCAGCAGGAGCGAAGAGCTGGTGAGGTGGAGGGAGGGGATTATATGGAAGGCGGGATGGTTCTGGCGTCCCCGTTACTAGATGCCATTCCTGGGTGCGGGCCGGCAGAATTGGCAGCAGATGCAACCGTTTGAACCCTTGGGGGTCTGAGAATGGAACTCTGTGTTTGCATGCTTTGCAGTAAAGCCAAAGATTTTTTGGAGAAGGGGGAGGGGGGAGGGGCGGATGGAGAGGGATCACTGGAAGTCCTTTTTTTATCCGAAACACCGTGTGTACTAGTATGTTTTGTTTCTGTCAGAAGTGAAGCTGCCCGCTGATGCACCCATTCATCATGTGAACGTTGGCCAGCGTGCCTTTTGCAGAAGCTCTCACCCCCAGCCCCAACCACTCCATAGCTTCGACTCCTGCGTATAGCTTCCACTTCCTCCAGACCACCCATCCATCCTTCATTCCTCAGTCACCCCTTCACATCCCAACCACCGCTGCTTCTTCTCTGACTACCCACCTTCCTGGCGATCCTTCCTGGCGATCAACCTGCGAAGGAACCCATCAGTCAGAGATCCATCTTCATTTCCATCTGCATTCTCGACAAGGTACCGTACGCTCCACTATCCTTTCAAAGTGAGCCAGCGGAGACTGCACTGCACAGTCCCTCTCCCTCACCATCTCCTCTTTGAGGCCCAATGCAACGATCACAGGCAAACAGCAGCACCAAGGAGGGGACGAGACGCCGCTGATCTAATTGGCTCACCACATACGGCTGCACCTCTGAACTTGGATAGATGTGCCGTATTAGAAGTATGCATGAACATGTTTATATATTGCACTTGTTATATTGTGAGGACCAACCGTGACTAACAACGAGACATCGCACCACGACTCTCCATCGGCTGGTGCTCGCTCGGCCACGTTACCGCAGCAATCACCACTCCACTCTCTGGCTGCGAAGAAGATTGGATTCAACGTGGCGAAAGAGGTCACGACGGTCGGCGCCGCGTTCGCATTCGTATTGCTGTTTCGCACGGCTATCCCATCCCACCCTACAAATTCTCGCCCTACCTCTCTGTCTCTGGACAGGAGCTCCAAAATGAGAATCAAAGCTGCATTCTGTGGGGCCTTGTAAACCATTGCAGCCGTTTCTCGCACCCCGTTTGATCCCCGCCTCGCCGCCGTTACCCCTCCCGTTTACGATCGGCACTTCTCATTTCGCTGCTCCTCTCTCTAGCGTAAAGCTGAACGTTGATGCGAAAAGAGAGAATTTAAAACTTGTCAAAATTCCCGCACAAGATCATTTGAATGTGAATGTCGTCCTCGCTCGTCGCCAGGTCCCTTCCTCGCTGTTCTCTCCCTCGTCTCCGATCGCGTCAGATCTGTCCGTTCCACACCCGCCGCGCGGTGACTAAATCTCCCTTAATTTTCCGCATTGACCTCCATTCAGTCAGACTTAGCAGCATTCCGTGCATTCCCGTTACTCGCGCGTCCCCACCGCCTATTGTCACACCTCGCTGTGTCACACCCGTTAGCCCCCCCTCGATCCACGACCGGAGAGCTTCCCGGAACCTTCATTCTCAATTTCCGCGTCTTACAGCCGAGGTACCCTCAACGACCATACCTCTCCAAAGACTGACACGTGGCACACATTTATTCGCCTCGGCAACTTCCATGGAGGCTGCACCTGCGCTCGATGGACACCCGTCCATCCCGACCGCGACGGCGCGAGTCGCGGTGGTAGGCGCGGGAATCTCGGGGCTCGTCGCCGCGTCGATACTCGCGGAGCGCGGGGCACACGTGGCGGTGTTTGATTTGGGGAGGGGTCCCGGCGGTCGCATGTCGCAGCGGAGGGAAAGCATCACCGTTCCGCCACGTGGTAGCTCTACCGAGGCAGCCGTCGATGTGCCGAACGTAGAGGCCAGGTTCGACCATGGTGCGCAATATATCACCCTCAGCGACCCGAACGTGCTGTCCTTCCTGGAGCAGAGGTTCGGAGGAACGGGGGCGCTGGCGGAATGGCAGGGGCGGTTCGGAGTTTGGGACGCGGAAAAAGGGGAATTCACTCCAGGGGAGTTGGAGGACGCGGGGAGAGCGCAAGGGGGAGGAGAAGCGCACCAAGGGGGTAATATTGGTTTCGAGAAGCGGTTTGTGGGGGTACCTGGTATGAACGCCCTCTGTCAAACGCTGCTTCTCCCCTCACATGCGGCTTCTGCCGCAAACATCAACGCCAGATTCGGAGTCCAGGTGGCACGAGCGGATTGGCTAGAGCACAAAAACCCTACAGGAGTGACTGATGTAGACGAGGGCACCCCTCTCTCCCCGTCTTGGGAGCTTTTCTCGGCTTCCGGAGATTCCCTAGGTTGCTTTGACGGCCTGGTAATTGCTGCATCGTACCGGACCATGCCTGTGCTCCTGCCCGACCTGCCGAGTCTAGCACAGGTTCGGCAGGGCCTGGCGGAGGTCCGGGCATCGCCCAGGTTCGCGATGATGCTGGCGTTCGCCGAGCCTCTCAGCCACGTGGCGTTTGATGGCGTGGATGTGGTGGGGAGTGATGTGGTGGGGTGGATTGGGAGGGACAGTAGCAAGCCGGGCAGAGCAAGGAGAGACGGAGGGCAAGACAGAGCAGACCAGAGCAGAGCAGAAGAACGATACCAGGAGGAGCAGTATCCTGGGTGCTGGGTGGTTCACTCCACTGCTCACTACGCCTCCTCCCTCCTCGCCTCTGCTCCCCCCGGCCGGCCCTCTCCGGACCTCCTTGCACGCGTGGCAGATGACATGTGGCGCGCTGTGAAGCCTATCCTGGGCGGTGGCAGTGGGAGAGAAGGTGGTGAGAGTGTAGGAGGAGTGGAGGGGGAAGAGGGGCTAGAGCCGATTTTGAGGAAGGTGCACCGGTGGGGAGGGGCGTTTCCTGTAGCGGGAGTGGCTGCAGGGGGGGAGAAGTGCTTGTGGAGCGAAGGGGGCCGGGTGGCGGCGTGTGGGGATTTCTGTGTGGGGGGTCCAACGAGAGGGTTGGTGGAAGGCGCTGTGGCTAGCGGTATGGAGGCAGGGCGCAAGCTGGGTGATGCTCTCCGGGTGGGCAGAAGTGCATTGTGAAGTGAGGATTACGCTCTCAAGCTGTCATGTGGGGGGGGTCAGGGGGAGGGTTGGTGGAAGGCGCTGTGGCTGGTGGCATGGAGGCAGGGCGGAAACTGGGTGATGCCCTCCGGCTGGAAAGAAGTGCATTGTGAGAATGATGCTGTCACGCTGTCATGTGGGGGCGGATGGTGATGTGAGATCTGCCAAGGGTCCAAGGGTCGCATGAAGGCGAAGGGACCAGTGAGAGCATGTGTTTGGGAAGCTGGCCAGGCTAGAGACGGTTGTTTGAGAGAAGATGGGTGACAGCAGGGCAATGACATTGTTGCTTGTTTTGAATTGAAAGCTGGCTGCAAGTGTTTGATTCATGCTATATTGGTGCAAGTGTATTGTTTACAGACGTGGCCAAAAGACACATCTGCTATTCTGTTATCATGATGTGTCATTGGGAACTGATCACAAAAACGTTGCCCTAATAGTAGGATCCCTTCTAAAGAAACCTAGTAGTGGAAGAATTATTCAGGTGAGTTGCAAAGATACTGCAAGGCAAGCTTGATAAGACAACTATCGCGAAACGAAGCATTCCCTCTGACAAGAACATTCTCCCACGTGAGTTCCTCCTGATACAGTAGTTCCTCCTCCACCCTGACGCCCTGGCCGCCATTGTTGGAAGGAAGTACGGAGTAAATGACGCGGTTTCTCGTCATGGCGGAGCTGGGTGGATGACAACAGGTGGATTAGCGCCTGTTAGATTTGAGTGATCAGTGGGTCTGGGGTCATGTGGTCTTGCTTCCGCGCTGCGTCGCGCGCCGCTGCGAGATCACCTGGGAAGCACGCTGGGTGCGAGATTCGCTCGTTTGTCGCCGCCAGATCAAACTCGCTAGATTGGCCCGTCACCCTTCATCGGTCGATCGCATGTCCTCCGCATTCAGCATCCACGTGGCGATCAGGCGAAGCGAACCGATATCTCATCCGTAGGTCGCTTGGACGGGAAATTAACAGCTCCGGTGCAGATGGTCCGGCTCAACGACCGGCTCATAGCCTCGTTCGGAATGTGGTTCGGCAGACCGAACCTCTCGGCGTTTACCCAATTTTTCGCCAGTTTTCGTTTCACGCGTGCAGAACCCAAGCAGCCGCGTGTCGGTCGTTGCCGGTAGTAAGCTCCGCTCGACCCTACACCAGTGACAGTAGCAGCAGCAACAGCAGCAGTGGCAGCAACAATGGCGTTGGCAGTGAGCAAGGATCAATCGGTCCTTGCAATGGTGCTCCTAGAAACCCGGAGACACGTGACAGTACAAATCACACTGGCACGCGGATTCCCCAGGTTTACCCAGGACAGGGTTACCCGAGACAAAGTTCTCCGGGACATGGTTACCAAAGACAGGGTTACCCAAGACATAGTGACCCAAGACAGGGTTATACGGGACAGGGTTATCCGGATCAGGGTCCCCTGAGTAAGCTAGATTGGCGATTCGAGCGAAGCCAAGTCAGAAGGCGAGCTCGCGAACTCCTGTGGCGAATGAGCCAAGCAGCAGGAGCGGGTAACTACGAGCTTCTGCTATCGCTAGCTAGACAACCAGTGAGCGAGAAGGAAAGGCATTGGCGGGAGAGCGTCGAGCGGATGAGCAGCAGCGGAAAGAGAGGCCAAGACGAGAGGGGAATGGGGCATGAAGGCAGTGAAAGGGATGAGACTTGTGGCAGCAGCGACAGCAGCAGCAGCAGCAGCAGCAGCATAAGCAGCACGGAATCCGCACCACCTGAAGCGTTACCACCTGAAGCATCACCTGTTGTTTCACCTGAGAACCTTCCACCTGCGAACGTTTTACGTGAAAGCTCAATAAGGCCATCGTCAGAATCAAAATCAACGGCTGGGAACGTTTCACCGAACTCCAACATGCCACATCAGCCGTATCTGCTGCCAGCTCGGAGCGTCGCTGCCGTGCTGCATACCCTACGCAAGCAGCACGCACCAACGGTGGCCCTCCACGTGTACTGGAGGCTGAGGGCGGCTGGACAGCTGTCGTTTCACTGCAATGACGTGGCACTCGCCGCGTGCTGTGGTGTGGAGACGGATTATAGACTGGCGGAGTATGAGAGGGCGGAGAGGCGGCAGGGGAGAGGGTGGGGCGGGGGAGGTGCGCAGGGGAAAGGGGGAGCGGAGGAGATGGGGTTTCTGGGGAGCTCCGAAGGAGATGGGTTGCTGGGGGGGGAGGAGGGAGAGGAGGGAGAGGAGGGGGAGGAGCGGGAGGAGCGGGAGGAGGGCAAGGAGGGAGAGGCGGGAGAGGAGGAAAGGGAGGGAGGAAGTGAGGGAATGGAAGGGGAGGGGGGGGGCGAGGGAGGCGAGGGGGAATGGGAGACGGGTGGCAGCAGCAGCAGCAGCAGGGGAAACGGCAGGCACAACAATGGGTGGCACAGCGATGGGTGGGCGAGTATCAACTGGCGCAGCAGGGGCATGCCCCCACCGTGGGTGCTCACGAGTCCCACCGTGCACGCAGCTCTGGGTACCCACGCTCCTGCCCCCGCCCTGCACATGCTGGCCGCGCAGGGCCTCTCCACCACAGGGCAGGGAGAGTTGGATTCCGCCCAGATGCCAGCACCGCACATGCTGCCTGGACAGGGGCTTTTGACAGGGCGCATGGGTGAGGGGGAAGTGACACAAGGGGCCAGGGGCAAGGCAAACGTTCTAGAGAGTGGACTGGGAGAGGTTGGTCTGGTGGAAGCAGATGCTGCTGCTGCTGCTGCTGCTGCTGCTGCTCTGTTGCACTCTCATCAAGCCACCACTCTCCCTGCCCCCTCCCCTCACTCCCAAGCATCATGTAGCTCTCAAGCCTCCCCAGCCGACTGGCCAGCCATGGAAGCACTCTTCCCCGTGCTGTCCGCGCTGATCAGGTTCGAGGAGAGGTTCGGCATAGGCTCGAGCGCGTGGGAGGAGGTTCGGGCGCTGGGGCTGTGGGAGAGAGCAGCTTTGGAGATTCTGGCCGAGTCCCGGGGCAAGTTGCAGAGGTTCGGAGGGGAGCTGGCTCGGCCGTACCACCGGGTGCTCATGGCTTTGGCTCTGAGAGGGAGGGAGGATGAGATTGCTCAGGTGAGAGAGAAATGCCTGGTGCGTTTTTCTGAGGTGGCTTTTGAGGCGCCTCAAAAGTTGGCCGTACCACAGGGTGCTCATGGCTCTGGCTCTGAGAGGAGGGGTGATGAGATTGCTCAGGTGAGGTAACTTTGTGCCTGCGGAGGCAAAGTCTGAATGGTTTTTTTCAGAATTATAAAAAAACGCTCGCAGGTGAAATTGCTCAGGTGAGATAACTGGTCCCTGATGAGGCACGTTTTGCAGGGGTGCATTTTGCTGAGTTGCGAGAACCTGCACTCCTCTCCTCTCCGCCAACCCCACCCCCACCACTGCCCCCAGCAGGTGAGGGCATGGATGGAGCAGGACGGAGTGGTTCTAGCGCCCAGATTCCCTGAGTCGACTCAAAAGTCTGCTCACTCCTAACACTGCCCCCAGCAGGTGAGGGCATGGATGGAGCAGGACGGAGTGACTGAGGCGCCCAGCTTCCCTGCGCTGCTCACACACTTGTGCCATCTGGGCCAGTCAACGCCTGCTGCTGCGTCCCACGTGCCTCTGCTCTCCGTGCTCACCAGCAGCCCTGGTGAGTGCGTGTTGAGCCGTGCTCCACTCGCTGCTGCTGCTGCTGCTGCTGCTGCTGCTGCTGCTGCTGCTGCTGCTGCTGCTGCTGCTGCTGCTGCTGCTGCTGCTGCTGCTGCTGCTGCTGCTGCTGCTGCAATCAATCCCCTATTCTCCCATGGTTCCCCTCCATCCCCCCTGGTCCCCCGACCAGACATCACAATCCAAAAGCTAGGCGCACAGCATTAGTATCACATGCTGTGAGTTCCTTTTCTTTCCACCTGCGCGACTGTATGCTGCTGCTGTTCCCCCACGCGCTGACCTCCTATTTCCAGTCGCGCAGGTGGAAAGAAAAAGAACTCATACGCTGCTACCAATCCATTCTTTTCCCGCTACCCCCCTTTTGCCCCACCAGACATCACGATCCACAAGCTAGCCTCACAGCACCGGTGGGGCGACATGCTGCTTCTGCTCCCCCACGAGCTCACCTTCTAATTCCAGTCGCATGGGTGGAATTCACATGCTGCCGATGCGAATCCATTCCGTTCCCTCTACCCCCCCTTTCCCCCACCAGACATCACGATCCACAAGCTAGCCTTACAGCACCAGTGGTCTGACATGCTGTCGCTGCTAACCCACGCGCTCGCCTGCTCCTTTGAGTCGCACGGGTGGTAGCTCACCACTCTTTGGAGCTCAGCCCTCGCTGCTGCTGCTGCCGCTGATGCTGCTGCTACGGCCGCTTTTGCTAACCCCTTCCCCCGTCCCTTCCGCCACTCCCTCTCACCCCCCCTCACCAGACATAACGATCCACAAGCTAGCCTTACAGCAGCAGTGGGATGACATGCTGCTGCTGCTCCCCCACGCGCTCGCCTGCTACTTTGAGTCGCACGGGTGGGAGCGCATCACCCTCTGGAGCTCCGCCCTCGCTGCTGTGGGTCAGGCGTGCCGCCCCGACGTGCTCAAGAGCATGGTGGATGCTGCTGAAGCCACAGGGCTGGGTGATGGTGAGTGCTGGGTCAGGGTGCGCGAGTAGGCTTGTGTGATGCGCCTCAATCAAAAGCCGGTATGCAACATTCCGCAAAGGTCCTCTAGGCTGCCGCCCGGACGTGCTCAAGAGCATGGTGGATGCTGCTGAAGCCACAGGGCTGGGTGATGGTGAGTGGAGAGTGAGAGTGGGCAACTAGGGTTCACGATGCGCCTCTTTCCCCCTGTCCGTCTCCCCAAACACCCTCCTGCCCCTCCCCCCCCCCCCCCCCCCTCCCCCTGCCTGTCAATCTCCCCAAACACCCTCCTGCCCCTCCCCACCCTCCCTCCCCTTGACCCAGCCCCCTTCTCTCTCCGGGACAGCACACAGCTCACTCGAAGGCAGTTCATGGGGGCCAACCACTGGAAGGGCTTCTGGCTGCTGGTGGAGCGGCAGGGCCGACAACTCTCTGTCCTCCTCCCCCTCTTCCCTTTCCTTGCCTGTCCCAGCTCCCTTCTCCCTCCCTGACGGCACGCAGCTGACCCGCAGGCAGTTTCTGGGAGCCAACTACTGGAAGGGCTTCCGCCCGCTGGTGGAGCGACAGGGGCGGCAGGGGGTGTCAGGGGGCGAGTTTGAGCGCACGTGGGGGCTGGTGAGGCAGGCCGTGGCGGCCACTGGGCTGCACCCCCATGAGGGCATCTCGTCCCTCCTCATCTCTGGGCTCTGCGTCAACGGCCAGGTGCGCTCTCTCTGCTTGTATGTGCGCTATCTTTTTGGTGAATGGGTGGGTGCATTACGTTTGAGAGTGCTCCATGCCAAAACATACTTTGCGGGGTTTGTACTCGCCACTATCTTAACCCCGCATCTCTGCCCCTTCCCACTCACTCAACCCTTGCCCTTAAAGCAGCTTGACAGGGCGATGGAGGAGATGCAGCAGCTGTGAATTGGTCAGGAAGGAGGAGTTTTATTCCCCCATCCCATCCCCCACCCCTGGCACCTCCGTCTCCCCAGCTCGACAGGGCGATGGATGTGTTGGAGGAGATGCAGCAGATGGGATTCGCCCTCACGCCACGAGTCTTCGACCCGCTGCTGCTGCAGCTCGCGCGCTCCAAGCTCTTCAAGGAGGCGCTCGCCCTGGCTGATGTCATGCGCCGCATGGACGGTGGGCTCACGGTGGCCTCCTTCAGCAGTCTCATTGAGGCGTGCCTGCAGGTCGATAATGTGAGTCGCTAGACTACATGGTACTGTGTGCGTCCGCATGCATGCGTGTGCACGTGCCTATGTTGGTTGGGGTTGGTGGATGTTGTGTTGTGCCGGACAGGCTTGATTGGGCGGTTTGGCTGTCATGTGAGAATGCTTCTCTTGTTTTTTTCTCCCCATCCCCATCGCCCGTGGCAGATCCCAATGGCACTGGAGCTAGTAGCGGGGATGAGGAGCACGGGCGTGCACAGAGTGTGCATGTGCGGTGTGATGTGTGTATGTGCTGCGTGGTTGGGTGCACATTGCTCGCTCTTCATCCCGCCATCCCCATCGTCTGTGGCAGATCCCAATGGCGCTGGAGCTAGTGGCAGAGATGAGGAGCACGGGCGTGCAGAGGAACAGCTACATCTACACGCCCATCATCCACGCCTTCTGTAAACAGGCACGCGTTGCAATCCACATCATCTATCAGCAGCCATGTCGTGTAACCCAGTGCATACGGATTCGCCCCAACGTGGTGGTTTTCACGCAGTTTCTGCTCGGCTGTGCACGTGCAATGCATGCTCGGCTGTGCACGTGCAATGCATGCTTGGCTGTGCACGTGCAATGCATGCTCGGCTGTGCACGTGCAATGCATGCTCGGCTGTGCACGTGCAATGCATGCTCGGCTGTGCACGTGCAATGCATGCTCGGCTGTGCACGTGCAATGCATGCTCGGCTGTGCACGTGCAATGCATGCTCGGCTGTGCACGTGCAATGCATGCTCGGCTGTGCACGTGCAATGCATGCTCGGCTGTGCACGTGCAATGCATGCTCGGCTGTGCACGTGCAATGCATGCTCGGCTGTGCACGTGCAATGCATGCTCGGCTGTGCACGTGCAATGCATGCTCGGATCCGCAACCCCCACCAAACCCGATGCACGTGGCATTGCTTGACCCTCCTTCCCCCCTCCCCATGTCTCCCCGATGCTCCCCTCTTCCGCCCCACACTCTCCCCCCCCTTCTCTCCCTCCACTTCCCCCAAAACCCCCCTCCCTGACCCCCCACTGCCGACAGCCCAGGGGAAGATGTCAGCAGCGATGGGCGTACTGAGGGAGATGATGGCGGACGGCATTCGGCCCAACGTGGTGGTGTTCACGCAGCTGCTGCATGGCTGTGCCCTCGCCCGCAACCCACCATTCCCCATGCGCTTGACATTGCTTGACCCTCCTTCCTCCTCCCCATGCCTCCCTGCTGCTCCCCTCTTCCTCCCCACTCTCCACCCCCCCCTATTCCGACAGCCCAGGGGAAGCTGTCAGCAGCGATGGGCGTACTGAGGGAGATGATGGCGGACGGCATTCGCCCCAACGTGGTGGTGTTCACGCAGCTGCTGCACGGCTGTGCCCTCGCCCGCAACCGAGCCATGGGCATGCGCGTGCATGAGATGATGCAGCAGCACGGCGTGCCGCCCAATGACTACCTGCACGCCGCCATGGTGGAGCTGCATCACAAGACAGGCGACGTGAATGGCGCCATGGAGGTAGGAATGGATGGGGGGAGGCGTTTGAGCATGCATGTGTGGGTTGTGGGCGAGCGTCATTGGGTTGTGTAGGGTGCCGCCCAATGACTACCTGCATGCCGCCATGGTGGAGCTGCATCACAAGACGGGGGACGTGCATGGCGCCATGGAGGTATTAATTGGGGATGGTAGAGAGTCGTATGGGCTGGTTGAGTGTGCTATGTGTTGACTCACAGTGCAGACGCATGGGCATGCGCGTGCATGCGATGATGCAGCAGCATGGGGTGCCGCCCAATGACTACCTGCATGCCGCTATGGTGGAGCTTTACCATAACACAGGCGACGTGAATGGCGCCATGGAGGTGAGGATAGCGAAGGGGTGGAGAGTGGCATGGGTGGGTGTGGAGTGGTGTGGTTGACTGTGCCCATCCCAATGACTGGGACTGCAGCTCCAGTCCCCAAGCCAGGACTGCAGCTCCAGTCTCGAAGCCGGGACTGCAGCTCCAGTCCCAAAGTTGGGACTGCAGCTCCAGTCCCCAAGCCAGGACTGCAGCTCCAGTCCCCGAGCCGGGACTGCAGCTCCAGTCCCCAAGCCGGGACTGCAGCTCCAGTCCCCAAGCCGGGACTGCAGCTCCAGTCAGTCTCCAAGCCGGGACTGCAGCTCCAGTCCTCAAGCCGGGACTGCAGCTCCAGTCCCCAAGCCGGGACTGCAGCTCCAGTCCCAAAGCCGGGACTGCGGCTATGGTGGAGCGGTATCACAAGCTCATTCTTTGCTGCAATAGCTGTAACCACTCTGCATCTCCTCCCTTGTTCCTACCCGCTCCAACCCCTTCCCACCCCTCTCCACCCCACCAGTACCTGGCAGCAGCAGAGGCGGCAGGGCACAGAGTGGGCGCCAACGCAGTGAGCGCGCTGGTCGAGGCCCTGGCAGCAGCGGGGCGCACAGATGCAGCTCTAGCGGCGTTCCACCGGGGGCGAGCACAGGGCGTGCAGCCCCTGCCATACGCCGTGGGGACCATGATCATGGCGCTTGGGCGGGCGGGCAAGGTGGACGACATGATGGCGCTGTTCCGCGAGTCACGCCGAGGGGCACGAGGGGCGCAGAGGGGGAAGAATTGGGGGGACGGGGAACCGCGGGGGAAAATGGGGGGAGGGGAGGATGGGGAGGATGGGGAGAGCGGGCGGAAGGGGGAGCGGGGTGAGGGGGGGAGGCAGTGGGAGGGCGTGACGTGGCAGCAGGAGATGCGGAGTGGGCATGCGCTGGTGGTGCAGACGCTGGCGTGCCTCGTGCAGCTTCACGACGTGCAGTACGGCCCCTGCTCTTCTCTCCCTCCTTCGTTTCCCTTCCTGCCTCTTGCCCTCCCACCCTACCTTAAGGAGGAGTGGTGCGGCGAACCCTGGCCTATCGTTGTAACCCTTCTCCCATGCAACGCCATGTGCGCCTCTGCTCCCCACTCCCCATACGCCTCTCTCCTCTCGCTGCGTGCATGCAGGCGCATTCTGGAGGTAGCAGAGGAGATCAAGGACGACCCTCAGCTCAACCGCCAGCAGATCTTCGACCAGGTGGGTGCCCACCACGGCTGCTCACACAAATCTTCACACTACTGATCCCGCGCGCTGCTCTTGAGCCTTCTCATGGCCCCACTCACACTCTCCCGCCCTGCCTCCTCTCGCTCACTTCACCTTCCCGGCAGGTGTTACTGCCAGTGGCCAGGGGGTTACCGGACGAGAGGGGGGTGTGTTTGATCGGGGTGAGAGAGGCTCTTCGCATGTTCCAAGCCCTGCGCACTGTGAGTCGCCACTGAGCTCGCCGCTTCCCCCTCTCTCTCTCTCCGCTCTGCACTCTGTGAATGTCCTTCCTTCTCTCCTCCGCCTCCTCCCTGCACTTTGCAAATGTTCCTCCTTCCCTCGTCCCCTTCCTCCCTGTCTGCCAGAGATTCTCTAAACCTGCTCACTATCCCTTCCCCCTTTCATGACTTCCCCCCCACCCCGCGCGGGTGGGCATGCACGCATTATGCATTGTGTCTTAAAAGTTCTTGCATGCCTTTCCTCCCTTCTTGCCCACTCCGCTTTCCATCCCTCCACACCCGGCACAGGTGGGAGTGCACGCGTCCCGCATGGTGCTGGAAGCGCTGTTGGATTCTTGTGCGGCCATGGGGGACCTGCCCCGCGCCCTCCATGTGATGGACGACATGCATCGCAACGACCTGCCACCCACCGTCTTCACTCTCTTCCGGTGCGCTCTCGTGCCTTTTAAGGCTCTTGTGATCTTCGGTCAATGTAGAAATGCATTGCGCCCTCCTCCCCCTCCCCCACTTCAAATCGTTGCATTGGGACGTTTGGACATTGTCGCTTTTGCTCTAAAATGTCGCCCTACCATTCCTTATTCTAAGCATATCTAATCCATACATGTTTCCCACGCACCCTTTCCCCCTCCAGTCTCTTTCGAACGGCCATAACAGCAGAGGACGAGGATGCTGCTTGCGCCGCACTGCGCCAGATGTCGCCCTCTGATTTGTCCGATGAGGACGTGCAGCTGCTGGTGCTTAAAGCCCTCGAGCCCTTCATCCGGGCGGCGGCTGAAGGAGGGGAGGGGATGGCCCTGGCCAATGAGACGCTGCCACGTGTCAGGGAGGAGGCTTACGTGGCAATTTTGAGAGCCAATGCGCTCAAGATGAGGGGCTTGGTAGGGAGAGAAGGGGAGAGGGGTGGGACGTGGAGAGATAGAGGGGAGAAGGATGCAGGAGTGGGTGGGGAGATTTCTGAGATTCTGGCAAGGCAGCATTCTCGGCAGTCAAATGAAAACAGGACAGGAGAATCACCGTGAGCGTAGTTCAAAAAGAATATGCTGTGACAAGCTTTTTAACCCCCAGCACGTTCCAGGATTAGCACGAAGGAAGGAAGGCTCTAAAGAAGAGGAATCATCATGTCGTGCCATGTCACCGTACTTGAGTGACAGCCAAGGTCTAGGTCTATTTTGGTGGTACCGCATCATACTAGCACACTAACACCAAGAGCAACCAATGGACACTGCATTACCCCTTGAGTGGGGTGGTGAGTCTCAGTCAGGACCTTGGGTCATGACAGCTTCTGTAGAAGCAGACCAAATGTGCAAACCTCCTGTGGACAACTTATCAATTTGTTCCTCCTCACCTATCCCACCCCCCTCATCATAGAGCTACTCCTCGCCTCCCCTTTCCAAATCTCCCACCTCTTCCCCCCTTGCTCCATACTCTTCCCATATGAAGAGTGCATTCAAGTAACAATGCTCATGCAATGCTTCATATGAAGAGTGCATTCAAGTAACAATGCTCATGCAATGCTTCATATGAAGAGTGCATTCAAGTAACAATGCTCATGCAATGTGTTATGAGTTGTAAAAGAGAGTGCGCAGGTAAACGAATAACGAGGCTGTGACTGAATGAATCTGAGAATACAATGAATGCACAGACTATTACCGTATTCTCCTGGACATAACACCCGGGGGTATTATGATAACCACAGGGAAAAAAGGGGGGGGGTCCTCTCAACGGAAAATCCTATATAATACCCGGGTGGTTATATATGGTATATTTTAATGCAACAGTTTGGGTGTTTCAATGGTCGTTTCAATATCACAGCTTGAGGCGAGAATGTGAGTTTTGGCGAGAATGTGAGTTTCACCTTTCAGGCCAATTGCAGCGGAAGATTCGCCAGCGTGGCGACTTCCTAGAATGTGGGATGGGGGAAATGTCCACTTGCAGCGAAAGATTTGCTAGGGTGGCGACAACGAGATTGTGGGAGGGGGAAATGTCGGCGGATTCTAAGTGCAAGTACACGCGAAATTTCATCTAGGAAGCGATTCTCGCAATATTCTCCTGTAAGGAATCAGACTCGATAACAGCTATAATAGGAATCCGTAAGAAAAGGGGGGTGTTATAGAAAATCATCCAAAAAGGGGGGTATAGTAGAAACGAGGTCGCCCATAGCACCCACCCCGCACAAGCTACCCGGGGGTGTACTATCATGGGGGGGTGTTTTGTCCGGGAGATTACGGTATAGGACTAGCCTAACCAGGAGGAAAACTCGGGAGGCGAGGTTGGGTGCAAGTTCGGCGATGGAAATGCCGAAGGCGACGCGAGGAGCCTCGGCAGCGTTGAGATCGGCCGAACGTGCGAACTCCGAAAATCGGGTTGTACGCGAAGGAGTCAACCCCGATAAGGAATTCGGGAAAATTCCTTACACTACCCCCCCCTCTAAGAAAGGCGGTCAATGTCTGCAACACGCCTGCGCGCCAAGTAATCACCAACAAGTGGCGAGGCATCGAGCGAGGCGGAAGGCACCCACGTGTCATCCTCACTGGTGCGATCAGTCCAGCGAATCAGGAAATCCACGTGTCGGCCAGCTGCGTCAAGGCGAACCCGATGAGCCAGGATTTTCGAAGGGTCGAGTGTCGGCTCCGGAACAGGCCGTGCTGTTGGGGCAGCTTGTTGACGTGCGATGTCTGTCGTGGCTGGCACGAATTTGCGAAGGAAGCTGACATGGAAGGCGTCATGAATTCGCCAGTCGTCGGGTAGCAACAACTTCGCGGTGACAGGTGTCACCATCTTGATAATCTTGAACGGTACGCAAAATCGTGGCCGTAATTTCGACGGGCCGGGCATGTGCAGGTTCTTCGTGTCAAGTAGCACTAATTGCCCAGTGGTTAAGACGAGTTCCCGGCGTAGAAGATCCGTGTATTTGCGGGAGGTGATATTTGCCTTGCGGATTGCGTCGGCGGCTTTTTCTCGGGTTTCCTGGAGTTCCGTCACAAAAGTTTGTGACCGGGGGACTGGATTGTCGAGAGTAGTCGCGTTGGGAACCGTCGGGTCCATCCCGTAATTCAAGAAGAACGGGGAGTGATTAGTCGTGCTTGATGGTGCGTTGTTGAAAGCGAACTCCAACATCGCGAGAGAGTCTTCCCAGCGGGCGGGGTCGGGGCAGTTTGTCCTGATTAACTGCTCCATGGTCTGGTTGGTCCGCTCGGTTTGACCATCGGTTTGCGGGTGGTAAGCCGATGAGAACTGTAGCTTCGTGCCGTATTGCGCCCACGTCTCCTTCCAGAACTTGGATGTGAATTTTGGGTCGCGGTCGCTGATGATCGCCGAAGGGATGCCGTGTAGTCGCACGACCGTCGAGATGAAAAGTCGCGCAGTTTCTTCGGCTGTGATTGTCGCGCGGCATGGTGCGAAGTGTGCCATTTTCGTGAAGCGGTCGACGACGACGAGAACAGCGTCGTTGCCCGTCGGCCCAGCTGGCATCCCCGTGACGAAATCCATTGTCACTTGCTGCCACGGTCGTTCGGGTGGCTCGAGGGGTTGCAGCAGCCCAGCTGGCCGTTGGCGCGTCGATTTCATAGCTTGGCACACCCTGCATGAGGACACATATCGCTGCACGTCGTTAGAGGAGTCAGGCCAATAATATCGACGGTGCAGTAATTTCTGGGTTTCATCAACCCCAAAGTGTCCGGAGAAGTTCGAATCGTGGACCTCCTGGATGAGAAGTTCACGCAGCAGCCTGTAAGCGGGGACCCAAATCCGGTCGGTTCCGGCTTTTAGGTAATAATCCCCTTTCTGCGTCGTGGCCTGCTGATGATTCCTGGTCGTGAATAATGGGTCCGTAGAGTAGCCGTGGGTGAATAGTCCTGTAAGTAGCGGGTTCGAATGGGTGATGAGTACCGCAGCGGATTGTACTGTCGGTCGGGTGAGGGCGTCGGCGATGTTATTCGCCCCTTTTTTGTACGTGATGCGGTAGGTGAAATGGCTCTCTATGTAGTCGAGCCATCGAATCTGTCGTGGGTTGAGGTTGGGTTGGGCTCGCAGGTACTGTAGGGACTTATGGTCTGTGCGAACAGTGACGTCGGCGCCCACCAGGTAGCATCGCCATAGTTTAAATGCGTGTATAATGGCGAGCATCTCCTTGTCGTAGATTGGGTAGTTGCGTTCGGCTGCCTGCAGCTTCCGGGATTCGTAGGCGATCGGCTGCAACCCGTTCCCGAAATCTTGGAGAAGCACAGCTCCGATGGCGAAATCTGAGGCGTCGGTTACGACTTCGAACGGCTTCGATGGGTCGGCGATGCGCAGCACAGGAGGGGATACGAGAAAATTCTTGAGTTCCTGGAAAGCCGCTTCTGCCTCCTCCCCCCACACAAAATTTGTGTCCTTGTGCAGCAGGTCAGTCAGCGGGCCGGTTATCCCCGCCATATTCGGGATAAAACTCCGGACGTAATTCACAAATCCGAGGAAACTCTGGAGTTCCGTGACGTTCGTCGGGGGCTTCCACTCCTGTATGGTCTTGATTTTCGCCGGGTCGATTTTAATGCCGTCGCGCGAAATGACGTGCCCCAAAAACTCCAACTCTTGCTTAAAAAACTCGCACTTAGAGCCCTTGGTGATGAGTCGATTCTCCTGCAGCCGCGTAAACACTGTGTCCAGGTCACGGAGGTGCTGCTCCCTTGTCTTGCTAAAAATTAGGATATCGTCCAAATAGACGATGACGCATCGGTCTAGAAGGTCCCGAAAAACCCTGTTCATGGTCAGTTGGAAAGTCGAAGGCGCATTCGTGAGGCCGAAAGGCATCACCGTAAATTCGTAACTCCCGTAGCGTGTGCGAAACGCAGTCTTGTGACAATCGTCGGCGAAGACTCGTATTTGATGGTAACCGCCACGTAAGTCGATTTTCGAGAAGTAGCGAGCGCCACGAAGTTGGTCGAGTAGATCGTCGGTGCGTGGGATTGGGTAGCGAGAGTTGATGGTGACCCTGTTCAGCGCGCGATAGTCGATACACATGCGAAGCCCGCCGTCTTTCTTCGGAGTGAGCAGAATTGGTGCCGCAAATGGAGATGTGCTGGCCCGAATGAACCCTTTCTCCAACAGTGCGTCGATTTTTTGTCGTAGCTCCTCGAGTTCCGGCTGGGTCAACCGCCACTGTGTCCGAGCGGTTGGCTGCGCTCCAGGTTCCAGCTGGATTTTGTGGTCCTCGGGTCTCTCCGGTGGCAGTCCAGGTGGCAGATCGTCGGGGAAGATTTCCGGGTACCTCCAAATCAGTTCTGCTAAATCCGGTGGTACAGCTGCATACAGCTTCTCGATGTCTTTTCCTTCGGTGTCGGCTGCCAACTCGCGTAAACAAACGGCGAACAGCTGCGCGCCCCTGTTGAAGTGTCGAGCTATAGTGATGGCTTTGACGCACGGGGCTTGGATGTAGTCAGGTGTCCATGCAGGCAGCTTAATTAGCCCCTCGTGCTTGTTGATGCTGCACGTTCCCGTTGTCCAGTCGATGACGGGGTTGTACCGTCGCAGCCAATCGCGTCCCAGCAGTACGTCGCAGCCGTCCAGCGTTGTCGCGAGGAACTTCATGCTGAAGCCGAAATCGTCGCCGCATTCGATCCTGACCGTCCGTGTTTCTTCCGTTATCGCCAGAGGCGTCCCATCCACGAGGCGAGCGTCGATTTCGGGCAGACACCTGTCAAGTTGCAGCTTGCATTTTTTTGCGCTCGCCAGATTGAAGAGGCTATGGCTGGCCCCCCCATCGACGATCATTTTCAAATTATTTTTTAACACCTTGCCAGCGACCAGCACAGGGTGATCCACATGATTATCCCCGTTATTCGGCCGAGTGCGATCGATTGCATGAATCGGAACCACGACTCGGTGGGGATGGTGGGGTTCGGGCGACGGAGCACAGTCAGTAAGGGCCCGCTAATTACTGACTCTTCCCATTTCCCTGCTCCTTCCTGTCGTTCCCCGTCAGCGGCGTTTTCTCGTGGCAGTCTTTTATGTAGTGACCCGTCTTCCCACACCGGTAACACGG